TACAGCTGCCCACAGGCCCCCGTGCAGGGAAGTGCAAAGAGGGCAATGTTGCCCAGAAGTAACATGCCTGGCAAGAAAGGAACAATCGTGGCATCATGACCTGGAGCATCCACCAAGAGATGCAGGACCCGTCCCTTGGGTACATGGCACTAGTGACATCCAAGGTCACTCACATTCTGCAGCCTCAGATGCTCTGCTGTTGTTTACCTGCCACTGCGGCCCATAAGTTGTTTGCGGCACTCGTCACCACCTGGTCAGCGCTAGCGCCTAGCTGCTGTGCCTAGGGTTGCCACCTGTCCAGGATTCACCCGGACAGTCCAGGTTTTGAATGCTCTGTCTGGGTTTCATGGCAGCAGAAACCCGGACACAAGATGTCAGGCAGACAGGGGCAGCCAAAATTAAGATAGGGGCTACTGGCCCCCCACTGAAAACAGTCTCAACTGTGATATGTACATAAGAATGGGTGGAGCTATTTACATATGAATAAGCCACTACTCATTCTCCCAAAAAAACGTCTGCGCGTCGCTTGAGTGTTCGGGTTTCACTTGAAGAAAAGGTGGCAACCCTAGCTGTGCCGCAGTCTGGAGCCGGGGTTGAGCCCCCTTATTCCCAATCAATGCCCCAGACACACATTGATAAGAATATTTCCATCATACTAGTAGAGTACGGACTAACAAGACAAGGATCACTTTAGCAAAATGAGGGGAATTTATCAAAACTGGAGCAGACAAAATCTGGAGCATTTGCCCATGGCAACCAATCAGCATCTCTCTTCAGTTTGCTCAGGTAAGATTTGAAAATGAGACAGAGAAGCTGATTGGCTGCCATGCACAGCTGCTCCAGATTGTGTTTGCTCCAGTTTTGATAAGTTCCCCTCACTATATTTTCATCCAAGAATCCCTGTCTTTATACAAATGTTTGCTAACAGGTAGAGTGTGCAATACTGTACAGAGGCTTATTCTACAATATTAGGTGTTAACATGTAATCATGCCCCTCTAGCTCCTTCTATATACATATGTTGTTTGGAGTTATACATTTATTATTTTTTTCCCCAGTACTATTATTTACACCCGGCTGATCTCCTGTATATACACTTAGTGGCCAGATTATTATGACCACCTGACATTTGTAGGCAAATTAGCTATAAACAACATTGACAAGATTCTACAATTCCTTGTAACCTCGAGCTCAGAGAGAATGATCCTATTCTGCCACCCAGTGGTGAAGATTGGAACTGCAGAGCTCTAAATAGGCACTTTAAAGAGACCCTGTCACCAACTTAAAAAATTGCAGGCAAAAGCACAGACAAATTAAGTGATTGAATAGATTACTTGCATTTACATTAATTCTTTTTTAATGGGTTGCTATGTGCCTTTATGCTTGCTCGCAAATTTGACTATTTCAGAAGTGTCAATTCCCTAGCATCAGTTCCCTCCCTCCCTCCTTGCATAGCCCTCTGCTCTCCTGGCAGGGTCTAATTACTGTCTGTGATTTGTACTAGAACGCTCATGCCACTAAAAGTGCTAGCGATTCATTGCCAGCAATAGCAACTGACTGCTAAACAAATGGAACACATGGTTCCATAGAGTGTGAGCCAAATGAGTAACATGTATTAGCAATCAGAGTATATTTAAAGCAAAAACCTATTTCTTTAGCTTTGCATAGAGCAGGGAAGGCTTAGACCCCCAGAAAAGCAAATCGAATAAATAAATATAATATAATATACTTGGGGTCTAATGTATAAACCCATCAACCAGCGTAAAGCAGGGATAATGCTGTTTGCACGGCCTCACTGCCACTAGATATGGGAAAATGGCGATGCGCCCCAGTGCAATGTAGAGATGGTAAGGTTTATACATCAGCCCCCACATAATGTCCATGCGAACCGAACCAAAGCACATTGGGCTCATCACTAACGGCTATAGAGATGGAAACACTACGGCATGACTGGTGGAGATAGACTCCTTGTGTATCATGGCCATGGCTGCTTCTCCAGGAAAGGGTTTTTTCTTTTTCCCCCTCTCTATATGTCCTGCTGAGAAGGTAATGGGCAATCCAAAATTTTGAGTTGGCATCAGAACAGGAATAGAGGGGAAATCTTGCATTGGGGACTACTGTTTCTGTGACAACCACACTCACTTCCTGTTGTGTCTACAGGATATGAAGTGAAAGGCAAACTCCAAAATGGGATGAACAAAAAAAAGTGATTCTAACTCCTCTGTAATCTGTCCAATAGACAAAGGGTTTGGCTTTAGATATACTTTAATTTTGCATGATGACACAATTATTCCAGTTGAGTGTGACTGATACTACTACACCATACAGAGACATTGGATCCTTGCATTTAGCAGTCACTTATTAACGCATTGAATATCAGGTATAACTCCATCATTTATAAGCAACAACGAGGTCTTTTGACAAAGTGATGTCTACATTGGACATTTATGGGGGGGCTGAGGTATCAGATATGACCCCCCATCATTTAAGGGACAGCAAGGACTCTTGGGCAGAGTGATGTCTGCATTGGGGTTTATTGTGGGGTTGAAGTATCAGCTACGACCCTATCGTTTACGGGACAACCCTTGAATAAAGCAATGTTTACAATGTGTATCTATGATGGGGGGGGGTTATGCTCAATTACCGGTGGCATTCCCCTCTCTGTGCATGTAAACAAAGGGACGGAATGCTGGCGATATTGATCCAATATGGCCATAAAAGGTCAATGATGTCACCAGAATCCCACCCCCCATGGTGGGAAATGCCCCGGCCGTAGCTGAATGGGTGTGCCCAGACACCAAACTTCTGCGCTCGGATGAGCTCGGGTTCAGACCAAACCTTTTCCGTGAATGCCCACTGCCTTGTGAAATGTCTGGTATGTGGAAACGTGGTACCTTCTTTCCTCTCATGATGGACAAATGGCAGACCTGCACTCTATCGTGGCAGAGCCTGAGCAGTGTCTGTAGCGCCATATATACTCCAACACTAAGCTGACACAGGGGTATATGCTCGATGCTTCAGCGGGGAACAGGACAGTGGAGGGGGGAAGAGCAGAAAAAGAAAGTACCAAGTTATCAAGAGAACCTGTTCTCACCACAATGGCAAAAAATTCAGGTTCACTTTCAGGCAAGTGCTATTGTCCATAATGTTCATTATTTAATCGCTGACAAGGAATGAGCAAAAAATGAGCATTTTTATTTCCCCAAAATATCTGAGATTTTGGCAAAATGCATTGGTGCCAAAGGGTAAGGCAAAATGGAAGTGTTCTAGGTTTCTAACAATGCAATGGGCTTTAAATGGCTCCTGAGGGTTACAGAAGTTCCTTTCATTAATCGTAGAGGCCCCCATTGTTTTATATTTTTACTAGTTTGTATTGGGGTTGTAGTCCATCACAGGCGCAAGCTTGGAGCGGTGGAAGTAAAAAAAATTATACAGCAATCAATGCAGAATGGCACCGGCTAGAGGACTACAAATCCCAGCAATAGCACATTATACAGCGCAATGCAGAGTACCACCTGCTATAGAGGAATACAACAAATCCCAGCAATAGTACATTATAGCTGGTGGTATTCTGCATTGCGCTGTAATATGTACTATTGCTGGGATTTGTTGTATTCCTCTATAGCTGGCGGTATTCTGCATTGCGCTGTATAATGTACTATTGCTGGGATTTGTTGTATTCCTCTATAGCTGGTGGTATTCTGCGTGCATTGCGCTGTATAATCATTATACAGCGCAATGCAGAATACCACCAGCTATAGAGGAATACAACAAATCCCAGCAATACAATATACATACAGTGTATAATGTATTGCTGGGATTTGTATTCCTCTATAGCTGATGGTACATATACAGCGCAATACACCATCAGCTATAGAGGAATACAACCAAATCACTATCCCAGCAATACATTTATACAGCATGTGTGGGGGTGGGAGTGCAGGCGGTCTTACCTGCACACTCTTCAAGCAACTTTACTTTCTTCCCTGAGATCTTGGGACTGTCGGTAGCTGCCATTCACCCAGGGCAGCGTGTTGGCGGGCAGCGGTGGAAGAGAGCTCAAAGCTGTGTGAGGCAGGGAGGAGGTGTGGCGTGAAGCGTGCGGACCCGCGAACAGGGGCAACTAATCGAAAGCCGACTAATCGATGATGGAAAACCTTGACAACATTTTCCATCATCGATTTTAATCGACTTCGTCGATTAGTTGTTGCAGCCCTAGTATATAACGGTGGCCAGTATGTACAGGAAAGGAGTACAATGGGTATGAGAGAAGACAGTATGTGCTGAAGAGCAGCGCGGAGGGTAGGACAGTGAGCAGCATGCACAGAAGAGGAATGTAAAGAGTAAGACAGCAGGCTATAGGCCTAGGAAATGGGCACAGAAGATATGGCGGTGGGCAGTATGTGAAGGACAGGAATGCGATGAGTACGGCAGCCAACATTATGAGCAGCAGAGAAGCGCAGGAGGTATGACGGTGGGCAGTAAGTACAAGGAGTATGACAGCAGCCGGTATGCGCAAGAGAGGAGTGCGAGGGGTATGATGGTCAACATTATGCACGGCCGAGAAGCACAGAAGGCATGACGTTGGGCAGTAAGTGCAATGAGTATGACAGCGGCCAGTATGCCCAAGGGGTATGTTGGTCAACAGGGTATAAAAGTGGAACAGCGTGGACAATGTGTATACAGAGTGTGCAGGACATGGAGGCAGTAAAAAGGAGGATAGGTTCAGATCATTTTTTTATCAATTAATAAAAATATAAGTAATAAGAGGCCACAAACAGGACACGTCGCTGTATTTCAGACGCACGCTGTTTCCGGCCACTTACCTTTCATAACTAAAAGGATGCCGTGTAAAGTCCCTGCATGTGAAAAAGAATTCCACGTCTAGATTTTAGGACACGAGACAGAATTATTTTATTACACTACCCATACATTCTACATCACTTACATAAAACAAATTGCTTTTCTGCATTTCAAAATATATATTATTTCCCTCTTTTTATAATGTTTTTTTCTAATTTTAATCCACACCAACTGCATCACAACCAAGAGATGACAAACAACGGGGCAGGTTGGACTCTGCGTTTTACAGATGGATACATGGAGGAGGAATCTGGTTCACCCAACAACCCCCAGCTGTTTAAGAGGCGCTGACCAGCGCAAGCGTCCGCAAACACTGGACCCTGAAAATTCTGCTTATAAGCTGATGATGAGAGGCTGGTGAAAGGAGAAAGTCTAAATACAAAGCAAAATAGGGTTATATAAAGTGAGATGAAGACAACAGAAGTTAGGAAACGAAGAGTTTGATTACAAATGTAAATATTAATATAAAGGCATTTGCCAGATTGGCAGGCAGGGGATGAGGGGCCACCGGGCCCCCACGCTATAGGGGTGAAATGAATATGTTTAGGTCAGCACTGGTGGAATCTACGCTGGAGGTGGCAGGTAACCTAAAATCTAAAATAACTGATCGCTTTTCAGGCCTTTTCTCAGTCCCTCTATCCCATCACATAATGCGACTCGGAGGCTAAGGTAACAGTGTATGCAAATACATTGTAAAGAGTTGTAATCCGGAGAAGAAAAGAAAAGATCGGACAAAAAGCGCTTCAAGAATTGTCGGACGGAACGTGTTCTTCGAAACCTTCGCTCTCCCGCACCAGGGCCCGCTCCAGGATGACGCGCCCTTCCTTGTAGCGCTGGCTGTCCTCCGTGGCAAACTCGTAGATCCAGCCCAGTTTGCTGTTGCAGTTTTTGCAGCTGACGTCTCGCACCATGTGCCGCCCGGTGAGCATGACGCGGTCCTGGACTTCGCTGTACTGTAAGTTTACCACCTGGCCGGGTGAAGAACAGAAAATAAAACTTTACTGAAGAAAGAATTTTGGGGAGGTGGGGGTGAGTATTTTCTGGTGGACGGAAAGTGAAGGTCTCATGTTCTCAATTCATTTCTCAGACATGCATTTAAGCTTGATATAAATGTTGTTTGTGTGCGATAATGACTTTGAAACCTTGTTTTTGGCCCCATTCACACTAAGCGACATACCTTTTGGAGCGGATCAGAGCGGCCGGGAAAGCGCGACGTTCCAGCTACGGTAGCGCGACCTTCACCGTCGGGCTGCATTAAAAAATCGCGCAAAATCCGCCGAAAAAAGGGTCCTGTAGGAGCGACTTGCAACCGCTACGAGCAACATGGAGATGTACATTAAGACAGCTCCATTGAAAATCATTGGCCGGCGACTTCTCGCTATATCGCACGGCAAAAATGCCGACACAACAAAGACTTAGTCTACTTAATGCAAATAAAGCATTGGGACCGGATAATCTACACCCCAAGATCGGTGGAAATCGCTTAGTGGGAATGGGGCCTTAGGGATGATCCGATACCGAGTATTTGGGCGATTACTCGTACTCCGATACCGGAACATACGGTCAGAGGGAGATCTCCCCCTGCCCAGCAGTGCTGAAGGAGCACAGAGCTGGCTTCCTTTCCAATCAGGAAGCCGGGCGGTGGGTTACGACTCGCCTATCTGATTGGCTAGGAAGTCGGTTTCACATGTTGGTAACCAATCAGGAAGCTGGGCGGCACATAATGACCCGCCTTCCTAATTGGTCAGGAAGCCAGGCTGCCTAGGAACGAGTGAAGGTCATTACATGCCACCCGGCTTCCTGATTGGCTAGGAAGCCGGCTTCACTTGTTGCTAGGCAGCCTGGCTTCCTAACCAATCAGGAAACTGGACGGCACATCATGACTCACCGCCCGGCTTCCTGATTGGTCAAGAAGCCTCTGAAGCCAGTATTCTTCCGCTAGAACACTGGCTTCACAGGCAATCAGGGAGCCGGGCGATGGGTCATGATCCGCCACCCGACTTCCTGATATTTGGGGCACAATGCGCCGGTACATGGTATCAGTGAGTGCGTTAAAAAGAAAACCCATCGGTACCCATTCCATGGCTATTAAAGAACAACTCCGGGGTTTTTAAAAATGTAACCCTCGCAGTTGGGCGACCCTACACCGCAAGGGTGAAAATTAAGAAATAATTTTCTTTATGGTGCACGATATTGGCGCAACTCTTTATCAAACCCAAAAATTTAGTGAAAAATGCACTTAAAAGTCGAACTATGGGGTCAGGACTTTTCCCCATAGTTCTCCTAAGGGTAAAGGGAGGACAAAAACTAGCGTCCTCCCGTCACCCTAAGCTCAGTATACCGCGAGCTACAGCTCGCGGTATACTGAGACGCCGGAGCGGATCCCAGCTGCGTGAGTGACAGCTGGCTCTGCCTATCTAGAGGCAGAGCCAGCTGTACCCGCCCCCTCCACCATCAGTTCCGCCAGTCAGCGCTGGCGGATCGGAGCGGAGAATCCAGCCCCTCCCCTGTCACGGCAGAGAGCCGTGACAGGATCGAGAGGTGAGCGAATGCCGGTATGTGTTCGCTCACCTCCCGATCTACTGAGCCGACCTGTGACAGTCTCATTGTAAAAAGCGAAGTGAAAAGCACTCACCTCATAGTTCTCCTTTAAGTTAATTTTAGTACCCCCAAAACACAATAAAATACCCATATATATATAGCTTCTGACCTGAAGAAGAAGAGAGGTTCACTCTCGAAAGCTTGTCTTTTATATATTTTGTTATATAAGCTTGTCTTTTATATATATTGCAATATATATATTGCAATATAAATGGGTAAGCCGTATTAGTCCAGTAGACAAGATGTCAAAAAAGACAAAAACGCAGTATTGCAGTGTGCAATGATGCCTTTCTTATTGGACTAACAAAATATATATATATATATATATATATATATTGTGATAGCAGATTGGCAGTGACAGGTCCTCTTTAAGGTGATACTTAATAGTATTACCTTTACACTTGAAATAAGCTATTAAAGTGCAGATCACAGGAGCCCAGCAATGACAGCTATGGGACCGGAAGTGATGTAATCTGCATCGCTCCCGATCCCAAAGTGCGGGGAGGAGATTGGTGAACGGACGTTCGCCGCTCTCCTCCACAGCTTCCCACCGACACCTACGGGCGGTCAGTTTACCGGCCCGTAGAAGTGATCTGGCGACAGCCGAGCCGCCAGAATCGATTCTATTGTAAAGCCGACAGTCGGATTTCCAAATGTAAACAGAGTCCCGGCGGATAAGTCTGTTTAAGTGGGCCCGATGACAGTGACGTACTATGTACGTCGCTGGTCGTGAAGGGGTTAAGCAATTCCGGTTCTTTATGAAGGAAGGATCACATGCCCCCAAGCCTCCCATCCCCAAAAGACTCACCTTATTAAAGAGGAACGCTCTGCCCGTAGCTCCGGTGAACCGGGTGGAAATGAGCTCGGAGCGATTGGTCAGGATCGTGTCGCAGTTTGCGCAGGAGAAGAGTCGGGTTCCTCCGATGTGATCCAGGAAGATTCTACCCATCGTCTTGTTTTGTACAGCTCAGGACTCCGCAGGAAGGAGGACTGTATAGGAGGATAAACAGATATCAGTATTACACAACGTCTGAGCCAGATCAACCAATTTATGTCCCGGCATTACCGAAATGTAACACCAATTCCCTTTCTCCCCCCCACTACAGCATGTCACCCCATTATCTTTTCTTCTACCTCTTTCCTGTAGCAAGAAAGGGATTTAATTACTCCCAGTGGCATCAGCAGGCTTGTAAAAGCTTTGCAAGGGTAGCTGTTGGTTCCTGATTTTAAGCCCTCATGGGCGCAGGGCCTCCTTAAATCTGGTCTTGAATTGTATTGTGATTGTAATGCCTTCCTTATATTGTAAAGCGCTGTGCAAACTGCTGGCGCTATATAAATCCTCTATAATAATAATACTGACAAAAGGTACACCTCCTGATCTACATCTTCCAAGAGATGTCCCATCTCCTCATCTCCCAAGAGATGTCCCATCTCCTCATCTCCCATCTCCTCATCTCCCAAGAGATGTCCCATTTCCTCATCTCCCAAGAGATGTCCCATCTCCTCATCTCCCAAGAGATGTCCCATCTCCTCATCTCCCATCTCCTCATCTCCCAAGAGATGTCCCATTTCCTCATCTCCCAAGAGATGTCCCATCTCCTCATCTCCCAAGAGCTCCTTCTCCACGCACAGTATGTGGGCAAGTTCTTCAAAAGGAGACACAGAGTAGAGCAGTCCAGGTCTCCAGCGGTCCGACACTTCCTCTGCTCCAATCAACAATGTGCCCAGGAAGCATTTACATTGTTGGTTACATTTTTTGTGACTGGCAAGGGCCCACTCACACCTATGCATTGTTGTAATGGTGTTCAGGCATTTTCAGGCTTGCACATTTTAGTTTTAGGCAATGGAAAGCTAGTTGCAAGGAGCGGAAGAGATGCAGTTAAAGGTCTCTGGAAAACCCACAGTGACAGGGGAGCCCAGCAAAGGTCACTAAACCCTCAGGGCCCAACCACACTATATGCCAATTGCAGTCCTAGCGCACAGACAAGGCAAGCTACCATGTTTCCTGTGTGTTCGGGTATTGCTGAAGGTGCCTGATGAAAGTTGGGGAAAAAGTCCAGGAATAAGCTCTTTAGGAGGGGCTGGAGGGGGTTGGGGACACTGGGTGTGCTGCTTCTCAAATGTGCAGACCGGGGTGTCCGACGTATGTACTAAAGGTAACCAAAGGAGAAGGTTGGCAGGTTGTTGGCGCTTCTCTACCCCTCCTCCTTTGGTTACCTGAAGGTGCCTACTGCACACCATACATCGCTGCGACCAACACAGACAAATAGGTGCTCGTAGCGACAGCCACAGATGGCACCATGCAGAACCTCAGCTATGTGAAGGTTCGCCACCAACAAACAAGGTGCAAAGAAAGTATCATTTATTGCAAATCATGGCACGTAGGTCATCAAATGCCATAGTTTTGGGGTTACACGGGGTCCCTTCCTCAGAGCGACACAGTAATGCTTATTAATATGAAGAGATGATGGGAACTTTAACATGGCACAGCTTAGTGAACTGAGCCTTGTGTGTTAAAGATTGCAACCCCCCCTCCTCCCCTCCCCCCAATCATCACTGACAATACAGTCAACTCCTCTCGTCACCTACAAAGTGGCAGGACAGGTCCCCTTGGTGGGTCAGATAAAGTGAAAGAGAGCTAGCACTGGTAACAATCTTCTTAATAGTGTCTCTTTATTGGTGGATCAGCCTACACAGTGGCAGGACGGGTCCTCTTGGTGGTTCAGTCTGTACGGAGGCAGGACAGGTCCTCTTGGTGGTTCAGTCTGTACGGAGGCAGGACAGGTCCTCTTGGTGGTTCAGTCTGTACGGAGGCAGGACAGGTCCTCTTGGTGGTTCAGTCTGTACGGAGGCAGGACAGGTCCTCTTGGAGGTTCAGTCTGTACGGAGGCAGGACAGGTCCTCTTGGTGGTTCAGTCTGTACGGAGGCAGGGCGGGTCCTCTTGGTGGTTCAGTCTGTACGGAGGCAGGACAGGTCCTCTTGGTGGTTCAGTCTGTAAGGAGACAGGACAGGTCCTCTTGGTGGTTCAGTCTGTATGGTGGCAGGACAGGTCCTCTTGGTGATTCAGTCTGTATGGAGACAGGACAGGTCCTCTTGGTGGTTCAGCCGGGGAATGCAGACACTGCAGCTCTCGCTGTGACTCGCAGGACCGAGAGACGTGTGACATCATAAGTACGCAACATAAACAATCCCCTCTCCGTACAGACAACAGCTGATCGAAAAAAGGTATATAGAGGGGAGGGGGTGTCAGATGGGGGTATATAGTGGGGGAGGAGGTCAGGATGAGGAGGGCTATCCTGTGTCTGGAAGAGGACAGACATGACGTCACACAAGTGGGGTAATTAGAGGGACTGTTTATCCTCCTCCCCTCCCTCTAATGATTCCTCGGAACGGTGCCCACAGATATCACAATCCGGTTCCTTCCCTCCCCCTCTCACCGGCAGACAAGGCTGGGATCCCGCACACCGGGTCGGTCGGCCGCTCTCCCCCGTTCTCCGAGTCCTAACTAGCCGTTCCACGCTCCGCCCACTTCCCTACTCGACCCGTCCATCACCCGCCCTGCCGCAGTACACACAACCCCTCGTGACATAAAACAGCCCCGCCCCGACGACTGAAGGAACGTAGAAGGGCCTCGCCCACCGCTGGACGTCACCAGGCCCCGCCCAACCTCGAGAAAATACAGTGAGGCGTGGCTCCATCTGTCCCCGCCTACCGTTCGTCTGATTTGTTGTAGAGGTCGTGTATTGGGAGTTTCTGTCCAGAGTGGCTCCTGGGGGCCACGGAAAGGACTAGATGACGCCCTCCCCTAGAGTTATCGCATGCTTATTACAGTGCCATGTATTCAATCTAAATCTCACCTCAACAAAAGTCTGAAATACAGAAGAATTCATCCAGGAATTAAAATGTGTGTTGTAGGTGGAGCTTCAGCCATCTTCTTACGTGTTCAGTAGGGTGGGAGGAGGTAGAATCCTCAGACAATAATAGTGTAAGGTGTAATAGTGGTGCTGAATTTGATTGATTTCCAGGTTCCTCCGAATCCGAATGCACATGTCTAATGCTCACCTGATTCTCGGAGCCGCCTTGCTCTTAGACCGGTCCTTCGAGCCTCCCCCACGTTCCAGCGGTCTGAGGTCCTCGAGTCATCATGTCCTATTCATGTATAGGACGTGAGGATGCCAAGGGACCCGTGCAGCAGCGGAGGAGGAGACAGCTTGGAGGGAGCGCTCCAACAGACAACCAGCATCAAGGTTCGGGTGAGTACAACTTTGACCCACAAGCACTTAACCCTTGCAGTGCAAGGATAGCCCCAGTGCAATGGTCAAGAAAAAATCTCCCCGGATTTCTTCTTTAAATAACAGCCTAATAGAAAGGCTCAAACCAGGCTGAAGTGATAGATAAGCGTACCTCAGTCCCCGGGGGCATAAGAGCCTGCAAATTACCACATTAATAATTCACCGTACAATCTGAAATGTAATGTCTGTGCTGAGGCTGAGATCTACGCAGAGTCGGCTTTTCCATGCTGCAGAGTATCTCTGCTCTGTGTCTGGGAAATAATCATTGCTGGGTGCTAGCATGTAAGACAGCACGGTAAAGCCTTCTTAGTTGTTCACATGTCTCATGGCATGACCTATCCCAGAAATAAGAAGATTGTTCCTCATATCAGTTTAGTGGGCGGGGCCATGCAAGTCATTGCTTTCAGCCCCATTAGCCAAATGCACATCCAGAACCGCTTGTGTATAGGGCAAAAGCCTATTAGAGAGCCATTTTTTTCCCAAACTGCATACAGCCATTTCAGGCTTTTATGCTATCATCAGTGCAGTGTATGGACACCACGGCCTCTATGGAGTCGGGCTTGGAATCCAATCAGACGGTATAACCATAAAGATTATGGTGAGAAGTGACCAAAGCAATCAAAAAAGTCCTCAAGGACATGTGTTGAACTTTATGTACGACACAGATGTTGGATATTAGTTGAGCTTTGTGTCAGGTAGGGATGCACCAATACCGATACTAGTATCGGTATTGGTGGTGATACTAGTATCGGTATTGGTGGTGAGTACTCGCCCAATGATCCCAATGCCTATCCCGATAGGCATTACACGCCGCCCGACTTCCTTATTGGCCGGGAAGCCGGCTCCATGCGCCCTCGTCAGCATGGAGCTGCTTCCCGGAAAATCAGGAAGCCTTGGGGCGGGTGATGACTCCCCCCCTCCATCTTCCTAATTGGCAAGGAAGCCGGCTCCGTGCTCCCTCGTCAATCGGTGTAATGACTTGCAACCCAGCTTCCTGCTTGGCCAGAAAGCCGGCTCAATGCTTCCTCGTTACCTGGTGAAGAGGAAGCATAGAGCCAGCTTCCTGCCCAAGCAAGAAGCTAGGCCGTGTGTAATGACTCGCCGCCCGGCATCCTAATATACCCTATACCCTTGGTTCTCAACTGGTGGGTCGTGACCCAAAAGTGGGTCGCGACCCCATGTTCAGTGGGTCGCTGCATGCCATCCACTTTTCTAGTTGAGAGGCTTCTCAGCCTCCCCCTAGCGCAGCGCTGTCCATTCTTACACCAAGCAGCCATTTAAAATATGCTGCCCGCCACCAAGTGCCGACTTGGGGTGGGCTGAGGGTATGGCGGCGAAGGAGCTCCATCCATACGTGCATTGCTTACAGCTCCCTCGCATGTCCGGTAGAGGTGCCTGGACTGGAATGACATCACGTTCTGGCTCCCAACACCTCTACAGGCACACAAGGGAGCTGTACAAGCGATGCACATATGGATGGAGCTACGTCACAGCACAGCAGCCCACACTGTCGAGCATTCCATTGCAGTGACTTGGGTCACGACTTAATGACTGAGGACAAATGTGGGTCCTGAGGTAACACAGGTTGGGAACCACTGCTCTATACCAATAAACCGGTATCGATGCATCCCTAGTGTCAGGTAACCCTTTCTTCTGTTCAGATCCACAGGGCACTTTGGCTGGTCAGTTATGCTGGTCAACAGAACAGTGGTGTAAGGCCTTGTTACAATGCAATGGAGCAGTGGTGTAAGAAGGCCTTGGTACACCTCTCCAGAGACTGTTGTTTTGATTCTTTGTTGGACAAACTGCAAATCATTGCATCGAGTTGCATTGGAGGTAAGAGCATGTACTTACCCCAGCTATGCAGTGCTATGGATCAATGACATAGGCTGACACCTTCCTATCCTTCATTAAATGTTCCTTTCATTCCTCCAAACCAGGTTCCATTTCCCTGAACCAGGAGTCTTCTTTCACCACCTTGAGTGCAGGGGGTGCCAATCGTCCATGGCTATGCAAGGGTCCACCGCATGAAGGTCCACTCCCACCAGTTTCTTCAGGGTTGGGGGGGCACCTGATGGCTTTCATGACGATTGCGATGCTCACATACTGTATGTAATCAGTGGCGTTGCAAGGGGTGTGTGTGTTTGACACCATTGGATAGGTGACACCATCCAATGGGTGACACCGTTGGAGGGGTGACACAAAAATGACTGACAGTCATTTTAGTGTCACCCCCTCTGACAAGTCGGGCACTCGGTCATATGCCACAAGTCCGCAGGAGGAGAATCTTTTGTATTCATGTAAACAGACCTGACGCCAGATCTTACGGAAATCTGGCACTGTGTCTGTTTACATATTGTTCCGAGAATGGTGCAAAGTAATGCCTCCCGAGATATGTGACATAGGTATCCAAGGAGGCCGCACAAGGAGAAGGAAAGGTCCTGGACGTACCTCAGGAGGCATTACTGTGCTCCATTCATAGAACAATATGTAAACAGACACCGCGCCAGATCTCTGTCTGCGCATTTGCACAAGATCTGGTGCCGTGTCATTAAAGGGTAGTTGCAGGAACCAGGAAAAGAGCTGACTCCCTGTAACGTAAAAAAAAAGTAAGATGGCGGCATGGCCCAGGATGCTGGGCCTGTTGGGCTTGTATCTTCTTCCAAATGATACTTTTGTTTTTAACATTTTATTTCTTGACATCTTCGGGTGCCTGTTGATGTAATCAGGTCACACAGAGCAGAGATAAAATGGAAGCGACACTGAAATAGAATCGCTAATTATAAAGAGGAGTTCTCGGCTGTTCCCTGGACCGTCATCAGAGTTATTATTAGCATTAAAGACACAGGAGGGAATTGATCAAAACTGGAGCAGACAGAATCTGGGGCAGTTGCCCATGGCAACCAGTCAGCTTCTTTTTTCAATTTGTTTGGTTAAGTTTTGAAAATGAAACATGAGAATCTGATTGATTGCAATTGGGGATGCACGGATACTAGTATCAGTCTCAGTGCCGATAACGAGTATTTGGGCGAGTATTCGTGCTCCAGATACTTAAATACCAATACCAAAACTTCCTGTATCAGGAAGCCAGGCAGCGAGTCATTACACACCGCTCGGCTTCCTGATTGGCCAGGAAGCCGGCTTCATGATCCCTCGTCATCAGGGAGCATGGAGCAAGCTTCCCAGCTAATCAGGAAGCTGAGCGGCGTGTAATGACTCACCACCCTTTTCCTAGTCATTATCATTGGTCGAGAAGCTGGCCAATCAAGAAGCCAGGTGGCAAAGTCATTACCTGCCCCCCGGCTTCCTGATTGGGCAAAAAGCCGGCTCCATGCTTCCTCGTCACCTGGTGATGAGAGAGCATAGAACTTACTGGCTTCCCGGCTAATCAGGAAGCTGAGTGGCAAGTCATTATGGGCTTCCTTAATGGGACTTCCAGTATTGGTATTCGGTATCGGCGGGTACCGGAAAAAAATATCGGTACGCGTACTCGATACCAAAAAAAACAGCATCGGTGTTGTGATGCTCAACCTCTCCTGATTCTGTCTGCTCCATGGATTCAAGTAGTGTGATGCAAAGAACAGGCATGAGGAAATTAAAACCCCACTTTGGGCAACCCCTCCCTTCCATACCTCCCTCTCTCCCACCCTTACCTTGTGAAGCAAGTTATACTCCCCTAAGTCTCCCTTCTCCAGGTCCCTTGCCGGCATTATTTTAGGGTGCAAGGGGACCGCTAATCCAGAGCTACAAATGGTCTTGCGTTGCCCACTCCCCTTCTGTCTCCTTCCATTGACATGCCTCCTCTTCTGGATCCTAACAGAAGCCATTGCTGGATAACCAGTCATTCAGGCAGTGACATGGACACCCAAAGAAGGACCCCAACGGACATAAACAACGGACGAAAAAAGACTGGTTACTGGAGGATCAGGTGACCTCGGCTTTTGCTAAGTAAAAGGAACATTTAGGCCAGGTTTTTTTAATGCTGCCAGCAATCAGAGGGGGTGGGAGGTAGGGATATGAAGGGGGTTAGTTTTATCATGGAGATGGGCTTCAGGGCCCATTCACACCTTATGCATTTCTGATCACAATCGTAATGAGTTGACAAGGCAGAGCGCTGCGACACTCCTGGCAACTAGTGACATCACTGGTTGCCAGGAGCTGAGCGGGACGCTCTGGCCGGCATCCAGCCCAGCTCCTGCCAACCAGGGATGTCACTGGGTGGGGCAGAGCCAGAGCTGGGCTTTACCAGTTGA